GCGGGTATCGAACTCATGAGGAAGTGGCTTTAGCTTCTCAGTGCAGTGCTTAACCCGCTGCGCCACCAGGGAGGGCCTGGTTATAAGTTTTAAAATTAAAAAAAAAAAGGTTCACAAGTCACATATAAAACAGCTATTGTTTTACTCCATGTCTCTTTATTAATACATGATTTCTTAATATTGGAAATGCTTGTCTTGTACTTTTAGGCAGAATTTTATTCCATTAAACAGAAACTTCTCTATTTTATCTTTGGAATGAATATCTTGAGTTTGGTCATGACAAGTGTTAATTATATACAAATGAGTCAAATCTAAGGAGATTTTTAGGAAACAATAGACAACTTATATTCCATAATGTAAGAGAATAATTCCAGAGAGTAATGATGAAAATTTGACTACCAATGTCTGCCTCGACAGACACATGTACACACTGGGTATAAAGACATGTGCCTTACATAGATAGAGCCTATGTCATTACCTTCCATGGAAGTACATTCTTCACTTGTATCTTCCCAAAACCATCATATACTTGTTTGGAATTATTTTCTATTTTATTTTTCTTTTTTTTTATAAATATATCACTTGTAAGTGTCATTTATAAATATTGTGACTTCAAGGTTATTACACTGAAGCCAGTATCATAATGCCTCTATTTCCTTCCAAGAGTGATACCTTATTCTTTACATTTTGGGGTTACAGGAATTCACTTTATCCTTGAATATGTACACTGAGATGCAGTACATTTGGTTACATATGTACTTGAATAGGATCTAAGTATTAGCATGAAAACCAATAAAAATATATGTGAACTTGTCACTATGTAACCCCTGTATATTCTAGAATTAGCATTGTACTGTGCAACTGAATAATTACCCTATGACTTAGCCCTTTATTTTCTCACTCTAACACTGTCATTGCATACTTTCTAAAAATCAAGATGAGAATAGCTCAGTTACATGGACTTTTCTTTTTAAGATTTTATTTATTTTTGCATAGAAGAGTCAGAGTATAATCCAGAAGTGTAGGCTTTGAAAGGACTGCCATAATGGCCAACATGGTGATAGGTCTGAGACAACTTTAGACCATCAGGCAGACCCCCTACATGTACTTTTATATCATTACCACAATATATGGCACTCCTCCATCTATTGCTGCAATATTATAGTAGATCATTGATTCTAATGTAGTCTTTGTGACCAAAAAGACCATTATCAACCTAAAACCAACCACAGATCTTCTGTAGAGTATCATAGTGCTTATTATTAGTATGTGATTAAGAATAAGAATTCAAAATTTTTATATGAATTAAAAAGTGAATGCCCACAGATTTTAATACTCTGACCTATTCTATAGTTGTTATTTTTTTTAAAAATTCTTTTTTATTTATGCATACAGAACTGGATACAGGCCATATGAATCACCTCTGGAACAGGGGCTAAAACTTGCATTGAATCAGTTGAGGCTAGCTTGCAGTGCTGAATCCCAACCCATTGTGCCACCAGGGAGGGCCCATCACTCTATAGTTTTAAATGGCATGTTTTTAAAATTAGAGACCATTTTAAACATTAAAAGCTTTATTTTTTGATTCAGTCACTTGTGTAGCAATTGAATAGCACAGTACACAAAACCACAAACAAAATCAGCTTTGTTCTTTGCATGAGTAGGGAACAGGGAAAGCATCGGTGAATATTTGCTATCTTAATGAATGTTATATCCCTTTCCAGTTTTCTCTCCAATACCAGGATATCAAGAATTACATGACTTTGATATATGCACCACAGTATTTGATATCTAAGAGGCCATTTATATTGACTTTAGTTCACCTCAGATAAAAATGTGGCCATTTCTGAAAGTATATAGTGTACACCGGCACAGTACCAGTCATGATTATTCAATTCATTTAGCAGATTTTTTGTCCTTGGCCAATAGAGGCCTCTAATTAAATAAAAAGGATAAAAAAAAAAACCTAGGGGCCCTCCCTGGTGGCTCAGTGGGTTAAAGCACAGCACTGAGAATCTAAAGCCAATTCTTCATGAGTTCGATTCCCACCTGCCCTGTAGGTGACCACATGGCGTGGCAGACCTCTCCTGACCCGCCCTCTGCTCCCTTCAGCAGTGTACTTCGTCGATCTGCCTGTTCTGTTCCCCACTCTGTCTCTGGTGAAACCTCTCACCGCCCCTGAGCCTCTGGCCTGTACCCCAGTTCTGTATGCATAAATAAATAAATCTTAAAAAAAAAAAAAAAACGAAACCTAGGTATTATTTTGCAATTCCTAAGTATATGTCCTTTACTACTGTCAAATGAATATTTGGGTATTTGCATATGAAAAAATAACTTAATATATACTTTGCAATCTAAGAATCTAAGTGAGCATCCTATCTCTAAAAATATTTTTAAGATTTTGATAATAAATTTGATTTAGTGGTAAATATCCTCAGTTTCTTGGAACCCCTCTATCACCTCTTAAATCAAGACCATAGTAGTGTACACTTGCTGGTTATTACTACCTTACAAATCTTCACTTCCCTTTAATGTAGAATATATAAAATCTTTTATGCTATTTCTGAAAACACAGTAATTTTAATTTATCATTCTAAGTCTTCTCTCTTAAATATTCCACTGTTACTATGGTCATTTCTCACTAGATTTTACTTCTTTCTTATTCTTTATATTCGTTTTTAAAGGCTGTATTGGAAATAGAAAGCTAGTGGGAAGATTTTAGATTTTAATTTGACAAAAATGAGATTCAAAACCCCCCAAAATGTGACAGTAGTCTTGGCATCATCGGGGTTGTTAGCAAACTAACTACATATGATTAGTCATTTACATCCATTATTGTACATTTCTCAAGTTTAGTCTGTGTCTTTATCTTTGATAAGCCTTCTGAATTATGATTGCATTATGTTTGATAGGAACAAATATCACATTTTATTATAAATTTTCCATAATTATAATGACTTTGTTCCAGATATTAATCATTAACAGTGGAGAGGAAAATAACTTGTTGGACATTTGCCGGTTTCCCATTTTATTATTGGTTCATAGTTAAAAAGGATTAGCAATATTTGAAAAATAGAAATGTTCTTTCATGTAAGCATTACACTCATCTCTATAACAGGATAAGGTCTTTGATTATTAACCCTTAACTTAAAAGACTCTCTCTTATTAAAGAGTTTAAAGGAAATAAAAAAAATTGTGAATTTTGGGGAATATAAATCCCAGTCATCTAAAATGTTTATATAAAATTTTATCTATATATAACTCCATCCAAAAGCACAATATGTGACCAAAGCTGGTAAAAGATGGGTCTGTCTTCCACATGCCTAGATAAAAATTCAATAGATGGCAGCTATGAGAACTCTTTACTGCTGCTGAATCTGAAGAAATTATATTGATAATTCTATTGAATAATATATCGATTGCTTTCTTCTTTTATACCACTAACATTTTAATATTTTCAGATGTAAATGCCAACTTTTGGGGGAAAGCTATATTTTAAAAAAATATAATCCTTTAGTATATCGCACAGATGGCCCAGAAATAACAGTATTTTCCTTTTTTCCTAAGCAACTGTTTTGAAATATAATGATGGCATCAGAAAACTGAAATATGTTATGGTTCATGTAACCCATAGGATACATGAAGAAGCAAAAACATAACTCCTAACATAACTCCAAATAGCAAGCTAATTATTAAGCATAAACTAGTAATATACAACTAACATGTTTTAATTGTTAAGTCATATCTCAGAGGCTGATTGAACATCATATAGCTCTGTTTTATACTTGAATAACATTATTTTAATTTAGTTAGGTTATGTTTCAGTAACATCTACATACTTACCTGAAGACTTATTCCCAAATGAGTATCACCACAATTTTCATTTTGTTCTGATGAAGTCTTGATCCATCTACATAAGAACACAATTTTCACAAACTCAGTAATATCTTTCATTTAGTTGCCTTGACACTGAAGTATGCCTCAATTGTTCATTGAATCATCTGAATAGGAAAACTCTTTAACATTCAACTCCCAAAGGAATTTTAAATGCAATGTTCTTTCAAAGTACACAATATGTCATATTTAAAGACAAGCTAGGCCACTAATATAAAAGTGAAGCTATGTTACCTTGCTATAGTGAAGATTTATTACAGAATTCATGTGTTATAGATCATATACTTCTATACTAAGGAAGTTTACTGAAGATAATCTAAGTGTTAATGTTTTTGCAAGAATTTCAGTCCATTATGAGATTAAAAAAACAATATTGAACACATAAAAAAATATCTTTTACCACATCATTTCAGTCATTGCTTTTTTACTCACAGATACTCATGATGAAAATTGAAAAATTTCAAAGCAAATTATTTATTAGAGTGAAAAAAATAGAGTGAAAAATTCCAGCACAACTAAACCCTTAACTGAGGAATTTGCTATTCTTCCTTTCCTACTGTGCACATGTATCTTTAGTCAATTTAATATTCAGCATGCTTACGGGAGCCTTAGAACAGTGTACATTAACTCTGTATGTAGGTGAAAATATAATGATTAATTCCATGAATTTTTTCTGTTCTGAGAAATGCATCTTCACAAACAATGTAACCACTTGAATTTAAATATTGGTTGAATAGGTAATTTTAAAAAGATAGTTCTGTATATATGTACATAAAAATAGAAATGAAATATAGAAAAGTCTTTCAAAAAGTAACCACAATGAAGAAACCAATAAGTAAAAAGAGGAAGGATCTTTAGGGCAGCTTTTCTTCTATGAAGAATTTAGCTATAGATAATTCCATAAATCCTATACAACCTGTACTCATGTATTTCAAATACGTGTTGGATTCTGTCATGTTTTCAATGTTCTTAGATACCATGTTGTCAACTGGGAAATTTCAGTGGCTTGAAGAAAAAGACATTAACTATAATTATGCTTTAAGAACCAAAAGCATAATTTTAATAACCTCATTTATTTCCATTATCTGTGTATGTGGATTTTGCAGGTCTGGCGGTGGATCATTTTAGTGAACGGATATATTGGGCCGACCTTGAACTCTCTGTTATTGGCAGTGTTCTATATGATGGTTCTGATTCAGTAGTCTCTGTCAGCAGTAAACAAGGTTTGTGAAGTGCTTTTGTTTTTGCTTAATTATTAGAGAGAGCATTAACTAATGGTATGAAAATATAAGTGTGAATGCTTTACATTCTGGATTTCCTCAAAATCTTCACTCTTCAATTTGTAGCTCTTACTGTTGACTACAAGTTTCATTTGTAACAGAAATAACAAAGATCAGTACAGAAATTCTTGACTCTAAGACAAGCATGCTACATTGCTGTCTACATGCAGAAATATCCACTCTGTTGCCTCTGTAAGCATCAGTAGACACTAATCTTTAGTTCAAATAGCAGTGATAGGAAGCAGAAAATGAGTTATCATTTGTAGTAAAACATCATAGAAACAATTATGTTTAAAGTTCATTGATGAACATTCTCATTTTCAAGTGAAAAAGTGTTATGTAAAAATGATAAGTTGCCTGCCCCTCCAGTGACCACAGATATACTTGTGCTTTTTTTTTTCTTTTTTTTTTTTTTTTGCTGCATTTTTTATATTTCACCTCTGTATTTACCTCCTTTTCTTACTCTCTCATTTTCTGGCTCCCTTCTGTACCCCATATGTTGTTGCCTATTAATCTCAGATCTTTGACTGCATATAATTTCCCTTCCACACTGCAACACCTTCCTGTATCTAACACAAAATATTCATAGTAATTACTTGAAGTTTTTGTATTAAATAACTATATTTACTGAAAATAGCTTTGCCTTTATCTTTAAGAAGAGAAGGTAAAAAAGAAATTGAAAATTAACTCTTCCTTTGTTTCAAGTGTATTTCCTTGTATGAGTATCCTAGGTAGAAAAAAATATCCATATTCTTGTACTGATTGTGATAAAGTTAGTGTTTTTCAGGTTGGTGTGTTTTTCTACTTCAGTAGACATTAATGACATAAAATAAGTGTAAAAGCATTTTGTACTTTATGAATTGATGTAATAAGAAAAATATTTTACTTGTAAATGTTAGAAGATTATTTTATAATCTATACATATTGTTATAAAATTATTGAGTTGATAGTAATTTCCTAAACTGTGAATAATGTGCTATATTATTTTAAGTAAACTAATCTGATTATAATTAACATGTGCCAGCTTTGTTTTCTTTATCACATTTTTAAAACAGACAATAATATCAACTATTTTGGGGTAGAGATTGTATTTTTAAAATCAATTTATGATTGTTAAGTTAATCATTCAGATAATCTAATTTGATTATTTATTTTATCCTGAAAACATTTGAGAATTTTATGAACTGCCTGTTTGGAAGAAGCCGATAAATTTGGCCCATAGGCTTTCTTTTACCTGTGAACTAGAAAGCAGAGACTGTTACTTTGCATGTAGTAAACCCCTAGCAAATGTTTTGTGGTTGTGTAGATGATTATTGAGGATGAAAATAGTTTTTATGTTCTAAGAGGCATATTTAGCATCTCATTTTCCTACTGCAAAAAAAAAAATAAAATACTTCTAATATCTTCACATCCACTATTAAAGATGATCTTATTCTGAAACTTTAAGAGCGATAATATTTGTTATATGATCTTAGATAAACTTAGTCTTTTTAAGTCTTTTTACATTGCAGCTTTTATAATCTACCTTTAAAAAATTCTAGGCTTATTGCATCCACATAGGATTGATGTCTTTGAAGATTATATATATGGAGCAGGACCTAAAAGTGGTGTATTTCGAGTACAAAAATTTGGTCATGGTTCAGTGGAATACTTAGCTTTAGATATTGATAAAACAAAAGGTGTTTTGATATCTCATCGCTATAAGCAACTAGACTGTAAGTATATTTTATACACTTTTTATATTGGTGAAATTTTTCCATATATATCTCAAAAGAAATATTTCAACTATTTCAGTATTAACTACAAAATTATATGACTTTAATTTTGGTATTACCATCTTTGTTTCTTTTTCTTTTTTTTTTTCATTACCAAAGTTGAGATAGCAATAATGGAACAGTTTTTATATCTACCATACAGATATGAAAAATTCAGAATTTCAATATTTTCTTGGAATTGAATTGGAATTATAAAAAGTGCTATTCTCTGCTATTCTAAAATTCTTAATAAAACTTGTGAATCTTTTGACAAATCGCACAAGTCAAAAAATTCATCATTAGCCATTTCACTTTTGTAACTAATCACTAAGTAATAAATGTAGCACACACTCCTTAAATGTATTTGATCAGTCTTCCCAGCCATTGTGTTTTCTCTCAGAAAGGAATAGCTAAATAATTGAAGTGGTTGTATTTAAAGTTACGTTTTAAACACAATCATGAAAACAAACTGAGCAATGTTAAAAAGAATTGGCTAAAATGGTTATGGTTTTGTGTAAAAATTCACCCTTCAAGGAACTCAGATTTATTTATGATTATACTTTACGGCAAAAAAAAAAAAAAAGAAAGAAATTTAACCTGACTTGGTGCCATGATCTAGAAAGGTAACCCAGATATATTTTAGAAACAGATAAAAACAACAAAAATCACCTAACACTTCCTGAAAGTCTATGTAACATTTTGTAGCTTTTTTCCCTGATCTGACATATATGGCTCACAGGGTATTATGAGGACACTCCCTTTCATCTTCTAGTTTGGCTGAATTTATATTCATAGTCAAATATTGCCACCTTCATAAAAAAAAATAAACTCTACCTTGAATATAATGAGTGAGTAGTGATTCTTATAAAATGAAGCCACTTTCACAGTTACAATTTCAGTGCTGCAGTGCCAGTTCTGTTACATTCTAATGGCAGGTTCTTTAGAAAGAGCCACACAGAGAATGCTGAATGGGTGGAGATGTAGACAAATGTTATCATGGCATATATTCACCATGCACACAGGTCCCCACCCACCAATGGAAGGGAAGCCATACTGAACGTGGTTTAAAAAAATCATCTATTTTGTTCGTGCTTTGAACAAAACAATACATATAGATTTGTAACCTTTGTAAATATCAGGGGCAAGTTGTTTCTGCTACTAAAATAATCCTGAAACTATTTTAAAATTCAGGGTTAAATCCCTGAAGTCTTGAGTTGACTTTTATACATACACCTAAATTGTTCCTTGGGATCACAGACCAACTGTTTTGCCAAAAAGCAATTAGAAATAGTGACAAAGAATGTGTTCGAGTAATTTCTTCTCCCTTGTGGGAAGTGTAAATTAGGGTAAATTTCCTAGTAATGATGGATGTTGTATATAATTTCTCTTTACCTATAAATGAGAATGGTTATGCTGAAATGAGATGCTCCCGGTAGAAATTTGATGTGATTTCTTGTCAACATTGCTAATTCACCATCTTATTAAACTTTGTGTTTTGAAACCTGTTGTATTTATAATTATGCATTTCTTTTTTTTCTTTTGTTTTTGTTTTAATCAGTACCCAATCCATGCCTGGACTTAGCATGTGACTTCCTCTGTTTGCTGAACCCTTCTGGGGCCACCTGTGTGTGCCCAGAAGGAAAATATTTGATTAATGGCACCTGCAATGATGACAGCATGTTAGGTAGGTAAACTTCATTCTTCTCTAATAATTTATTAATTTGTAAGATAATTAATCACAGCTAGTGAAATTGGGCAGAATTAGCTATTTAGTCATGAGTTTAGCTGCTTTGATGTCATTATTCTCCAATGCCAGTGACACCTATTCTTCTCTGTGATAATGAATTCCTATCAATTCATTCTACACTTGTTCACAACACTGTATTGAGCATTTATGAATCACTTAACAATAGAGTAAGGACTTTGAAGTCACACAAAATAAAAAGACATTTTTACATAACTCTTGATCCATGAGGTAGTATTTCTGAGGATATTGTTCTGCCATTAGCTGAAACCCATTTGTTCATTTTATAAGTTTATATCAAGCAATTCCTATTTGTCAAATACTAATCCAGAAACTGAGAATTAATTTAGAAGCAAGGTTTGGGTTTCTTTTTTGTAAAACTTGATTAACAGTAGTTACTACTATCACTAAACATTTTGAGGGCTTATGAGCAAAGCATAGCACTAAATAAAAAACAAAGCAGACAAAATTTTCTCATTCATGGGGCTTATATTTTAGAACCTAGAACATGAAGTACTGTAATACTGAAACATCTAAAAGAATGCTAATCAATCTTAAATAGCAAAAGATTGTCAAAAATAGAAACAAAACATACTAACATAATGGGAAGAAGAGATGTCACCCGATTATCTAGTAAAGAAAAAAATAAATTTACATTGTATGTAATCCTCAGCATAGAAGTATAGTAAGCTTTTCCCATTCAGGACATTAATTGCAATGGGAAAATGTGTTTTTAATAAGAGACAACCTTTCGGCCTTTCTAGAGCAGGACTTCCTACCTGTTGTATTTACTTCTTTGAACAAACTCCTCACACAAACTCTGTCTCTCTCTATTTGTCAGCATCTCCACTCCCAAAGCATTATTGTGTTGTTCTATGCTGAGGATTACATACAATGTAAATTTATTTTTTTCTTTTTCCAAGAGGCTTTATCTAAACATACCTTAGCTCTTTTATTTACTATATAGTCTTTAAACATTAAACGTGTAAAGCTGAAGAGGCTGCAAAGATGATATGATGAGTGACAGAAACACTGATAAATTTATATTTACATGAATAATGATACAGTATACAAAGAAGACAGTTGAACTATTATGAAAACTCAGATGATGATCAAATTAGTGAACTGATAAGAATGTCCACTAAAATGTCTTCAGAGACTGATTGGGTTTAGCTTAAGTGGTAATACAGGAGGAAAACATTGAAAAGTAGAAGCTAATTAAGGTATGAAAATATGGCAAGTAAAGGAAATGCAAATTATTTATTGCAGTTATGTATTGCAGTGTCAAGTGCTGGTATGTGTGACAAGGTGGGAAGTTTCCTAACAGAGATCTAAATGTGAATCGTGATTAGTAATTTAGTTGGATTCTTGAGTGCCAGGTATTGAAAAGGGACATTGAAAAAGGCATTAGGAGGTATCCTTTCTGTTTATCAAGTCTCCTCCCAGCGGGAAAAGTTGTGATTTCAGTTGTGATGATAGAAAAAAAATCAGCAAACATTTTCAAACATTATCAGGTACATTTTCACTCTCTGCTCTGGCATGGCCATACAGGTAAACAATGTGTGTCTAATATTCTACTAAGTTTTTCAGAAGTCAATTTTAATAATGTCAACAAGTCCGTGTAGAATACTCGCCCATATCTACTCTTTCCATACAGACCCAGGACTGCTGTTCACAGTGATGCCTCCTCTGTATCATGTCCACCTATGCTACTACTTGGGTGGGAGTGACCCCAAGAGAGAGAACTCTGGTAGCAGTACCCTACTCAAGCAACCAATATGACTTTATATTGGTTCAGATGTCCTGGATTTTTTTTTTTAAATGGTCAAATTGCAGCCGATAGTTGTAATTTTTCCTTTATAACTAGACATCACTGTCTTTTCTATATAACCCTCCCTTATCCTCTCTGCTTAATGAAAAATTATTAATCCAATAACCCAAACCTAACTAGTACAAAGGAAGAATTAGACTTGGGGGCCAAGTTGAGGTAGAGTATTATGCTAGGCAAAGATCTGTCAGTTAGTAATTAGTTTGTTCCCATACTTCCTCAGTTAAGCTTAATTAAATAATATTACTGGAAATAACAATAAAATTTTTGTACATACAAGCAATATTATCAATACCTGTACATTATTTAATTTATCTTTACAAAACCCCAATGACACTCTACTATCTTTTATTCTTATCTCTGACAAACAGAAGTTTGGAGAGGCTTAGATGATTATCTAATACTAATTAACAATGATGTACCCCAAGCTGAACTGAAGTACAATACACCCTATTACCTCCACTTTCCATGAAGTACCCATGTCTAAATTCATTGGAAATGTGAAAATAACACAAAGTGCCTGGCAAAAAGTTGAAAGGCAAATCTATCATGGAGTAGGTTAAAAAATAAAACAGGATTTTTGATATATTACCTCCAATTTATAGATTTTGTAGTTGAACTAAGAAAACATATTGGTCTAAATACATAGTTATCTAAGAATCAAATCATTTTAGAGATTTGTTTTAATATTTCAACCCTGCTTGAAACACTTGATTACAGAAACTCAATTTTGAAATTTAAAATAAAAGTTTACGTTTAAATAACCTGAGTGTTAAAAATTATTCACAGTGGTCTCTATGCATATGAGCCTTGGTAATAAACAGCTTGAGCCACTTTGTTAAGAAAATAAATAAGTAGATTTTGGAATTATTGATTGGTGCAGATAAATAGCAATTAATTTTTTCCTGACATTAACATTTGCTTCAGCCAAGTTTTGCAGCTCTTTATAATTACTTGCCTTTCTCTTGCTGCTATTGTTAAATGATGAGCACACTGAATATTTTTAATCTTCATGTAAGAAATTTGAAATTCAAATGTTACTCATTCTTGGGGAAGTATTCACCTGCTCTTTGCTATAGTTGATTATAATTGCTGGAGCTTGGCTTCAGGGGGTGATTTAGTTATTGACAAAAGCTGCCTTCTTTTTCATTATAGAGCTATTACCATTAGGTTTCGAAAGACCACATCTTCACTTCCTTTCATCAGTTTCAGATTTTTTTTAAAATTTCTGGTACCTAATGAGGTACGTTGTAGAAAAGCACATGCCCTAACATGTAGAAATTTTAAATATTTATGTGGTTGACACAGAATATGTACAGATGAAATTGAGCCCCCCCATTGTAATCCTAACTGTGATAATAACGTATTAAATATTTATCTTCACTGTTGACTTTCCTAAATCTGATTAGGACATTTCATTTGCTTAAGCAAATATTTCTATTTTAGATCTTTTTAGAGACTTCAGTCTCTTTATCTCTTTGATGGGAGTCCCCAATGTAATAATTTTTAGGTGTCTCCAATAATATATGTCCAAAGCAAAATTGTCCCGTCAGTCCCTCTGCCCCTTGTGTTGCACTTAATTGCCCTGATCAGAAACTGAAAAATTACCCTTAATTTTTCCCTTGCCCTAATTATATAATGCTAGTGTGATTTTTTACCCTCTAATTACCTTTCAAATGCATCCAATTTATCTACCCGCATTACTATATTTAAATCTATCCTATTACCTGGCCTGTGTAACTGAGAGTCCCAGTAATCTCCCTGTTTTCGTTTGAATCCTTGACAGAACAGGCATTCTTAGACTTGTTAGATTCTATCATCCACATGGCTTTTGAGACAAAGTTCAAAAGCCAAGGATCTCCTCTGATTCTGTTTTTCTCTTCAAACTCAATCCTCTTTTTCATTTCCTTCATTTATACTCTCTAATCTAGGCCCATTCAATGACTTTTCATTCAGTGACTCCAGTGTTCATCCCTGGTACTCCCAGATATTCTTTCATGTGACCGGTACTTACAGTGCTCCTTTGGACACTCAGAAATTAATGCTGAGTATTACTTGATAATTCACCAAATAGCTGCCTCAATTTCCTACTGATATTTATATACCTTTTAGACCCATAGCTCAGTTCTTTATCTTTTTTTTTTTTTAATAAAGCTCAATGTCTGCCTTGCCTTGCAGACAGAGATGGACAGTTTTTGTTTGTTTGTTTTAAGATTTATTTATTTCTACGTACTGAACTGGGGTGCAGGGCAGTGAGAGGATTCACCAGAGACAGAGCGGGGAGCAGAACAGGCATATCAATGAAGTACACTGCTGAGGGGAACAGCAAGCAAGCCAGAAGAGGTCTGCCACGCATGTGGATCATCTCCCAGGCGGGGATCGAACTCACACTGCTGCAGCTGCAACCCAGCCTGTAGTGCTGCATCCTAAACCATTGCACCGCTAGGGAGGACCCATCCTCCTACTTTTTGCTATAGCACATATGGGCTGAGAGTCTAATTCTCATCTGAGTGTGTGTTTATGCAGTAGAAACATATTATAAAATAGTTACAAAGTTTCATAATTTTAATTTTTCTTTCAAATTTCTTATTTAATGTAATATCCACAACACATCTATAAGTCAAATGGTATATTTGTTATTGTAGTCATTTTATAGTACAATTACCTGAGGCTCAAATAGCTTTACCTTGTATGGATAGTCAATGGAAGAAAAAGGGCCTAAACGCAGGTCTCCTTATTCCAGCTGTCATTTACTTCATAATATGTGTAAATGTGATGAAAGAGTCCTTCATGTAACAGATGAAAACTTTAATATTGCCAACCCAAATGCTACTTGCATAGCAATGTGTTGGAAACATTTCATTGCAATGAGACAAATCTCAAAATTGTCTGGCACAGCTAATAGTCCCTATTTATGGCAATAGATACTTGAATCACTATGTCTAGTGACTTAACTCAAGCTCTGTTAAAATATTCTTGTGATTGTTGTGCTGATATAGTTAAACTTCTGCCTTATCTAACTCTATGTACCTTGAATTAGAAAAAAGCTCTTTTAATTTTACATTTTTTCAATATAAAATAGGCACAAGGTTAATAGAAAGTAGATTATAACTCTCTCAGTCATTTTGGTTCTATTCAGTAATGTGCCCTACTCTATCTAAGCTGCATTTCTAATAGAGCAGCAACATGTCAATACACATAGAAAAACTGTGCCTAACCAGTTAACATGTGAAATTTTTTATGAGATTGGTTTTAACCATAAAGTGACAGTATTATATTTTTATGTAGTTAATAAAGATGTATAGCAGAGTGTATTTTCACTTTAGTGTTTCACACTGTGACTTACACACATATCCACACTTTTATATGTATGTATATAACAATTATTCTATCTAATATATATATATATATAAAACATCCATTTCATTGCAGTGTGATTTAATATCAGGCATTCCTAAAGAATCCACTATATTTGTCAACATCATGTGCAAAGTCTGGTTAGGAAAGATTTCATTTTTAGAAAGTTTATGCTTGTTTTACAGTTTAATATTTTTAAAAATGTAAGAAATGGCTAATAATGCTTTATGCTTAAGAAGAAAATTTAATTCAATATTTGAATTAGCCATTCAACAGTATTTCCAATCTGTACCTATTTTTAGTTTTCCTTCTACTTTTATATTTAAGGTATTTACTTTGGGAATTTTATTAAAAAATTAATTTGTATATGTTGAAATTATTCTATCATCTTTTGAGTGGCATGCTAATTTGTACATTTCTTCTTATAACCAGATGATTCTTGCAAATTGACTTGTGAAAATGGAGGAAGATGCATTTTAAATGAAAAGGGTGATTTGAGGTGTCATTGTTGGCCCAGTTATTCTGGAGAAAGATGTCAAATCAACCACTGTAACAACTACTGTCAAAATGGAGGAACTTGCATGCCATCAACTCTGGGTAAATATCTGAGAGTCATCAAGTGGTCAAATTCTCACTTTTCCTTTTATGTGAAAAATACAAGGATAAAACAATGTTATAGATATCATTCCTGTTATGTTTATATAAAATACTTTTAACACAAATTAAATTTAACACTTTATTCAACAGAATAAATGGCACTTATTCTAAATTCAGTTTATCAAAGTTCATGTCATAAAATGAACAATAGTAATAAACATCACCATGTGTTGAATGTGTCCCATGCAACAGTTCTAATAGTTTAGAGATATTCTGACTCTGGCTTACATTGAAGTGATACCAGTTTTACGAGGCTTAAATGCTTGGCCACAAAATGTGCTTTTTGTTGTTACAGTTTTTAAATAGTCAGGAGGGGTAGATATGGACAGAATTACAAAGACTAGCTATTCACAAATCACAAACCTGAAAAATACTTGAGACTATTAATTCAACATCCATGTTACTAAAATGTATTTTGTGTAGTACACAGTTTAAAATCAAAATATTTTCTTCATAACTTTTATTAAATTTAAAATATGTTTGGGGGGAATTAACAACAATACATAATAAAATATAATTGTTAAATCTCAGTGATCAGAGAAAAGAACATTATGCTACTATTTGGATATAACATATACACTTTCAATTCTACTACAATAAAATGAAATTTAGTTAGTCAAATGGAAAATCAATCTAAATCATCCTTAACATCCTTTCCACAGCCTCCATGATTAATTTCTATCTTACTGGGAGTTCTCATGTTACTATTGCTCATGTATTTCTTTGAACTACTTAGCATAATGTTAACTGAAAGAGCCACAAGAAGATACATTTTCAATAGAATTCAGAGGAACCAAGCTGTTTCTAATTTGCATTCTAATAGTAAAAGCATTGCTATTTCTTTGTTAGATAGTTTTATGTCTATAAATATTTTTGACTTATAACTAATTGATAATCAAAGTAGGCTAACTACTTATTAGAATTCTGAAAATTATTCAGCAGATTGATTGACAAAAAAGACACTTAGGAGTCTTACCAGTTATTTTTATTCTACCTAAAGGAAGCTAGTCTCCTGCTGCTATAGGAGAAATTGTAGCACTGGAAACTTCATTGAATATGCAAATTAATATGTGTGCTAAAAGGATATGACCTGTAATTGTATTTTAGTAGCACAGATACAATTTTCTCTAAGGGAAAAGCTTTTCTAATGCAAACGAGTTGTTTAGAGATTTTATAATTTAATTGTTAGCTTAATTTTCTCATTAAGATAATAAAAAGCATTGGCTTATAACCAGATAATTTTCTTATGCTTATCTTTGGAAATATTTAAGCTGACTATAGAGTTTGGCATTTCAAACTATGGCTTTCTCTAAAACCTGCAATGAATCCACAGGGACAAATCTCTATTGCATTGAATTTGCTGTCCTGTTAATGTATTGTATTTAGGTACAGTATAACATAATATTTTGTTCAAATTGCTAGTCCAGATCTTGTAGCATCTTCGGGTTGTAATACATCAATTTTACCTGTACATTGAGATTACTAGATCTTGATTATTTACATAGATCAGTATGTTAAAAAAATGTATTGCAAATTCATAATAAATGTATCTTTATATCAGTTCAACCTGAGATATGGCCATGTAGTTCATTATCTTATAGCATCTAATAATTAGTAAGATAATATCCAATTACAATGCATCTTACACTATTAAAATTGTGGTTTTATGAAAACATTATTTGGCATTTCAGACTGTAGGACCTCATTATCTCCACACAAATGTTAATTTGTTAAACAAATCCCATTGGGCAATCCATGGATTTATTCATTGTTGGTTTACTTACTGTTAAGCCTTTTGGCATATTCCTATGGGGATACTATGTAACTACGGTTTGGGGCAACCTTAATTAAAATTTATAAGTTTATGACAGTTGTATAGAACTATAACAATTGAACAAAGGAAATGTCACCAGTTAATTAAAAGAACACATCTGAAAGGCATAATTAAAATATTGCATGTAGGAATGAGTCTTTCTTCATTCCTCAAGGTTTTTTGTAATAATCAAGCTATAAAAAATATTAGCTAAATTCATATAGGAAGTTACTGCTAAATGTACTAGTTTCACATTGATTTTATCAACAAGGATCCTTGTAGCCCATTTCTCATAGATGCTCAAAGAATAGAATTTAAGGTGAAATTTACCTTCTACAAAATAGTGACAAAGACTAATATTATTCAATCATAGTACATTAGAAAATATAATAATTTATGTTTTTCTTATGGTTATAAAGATATTTATGTTAGTAAAAATATTTGCAATTAATCTTAACTTTCATGAATATTTTCTAAATTATGTTCAGATTCTGTAGTATTGTCCTTATGGGTGTGTGTCTTTTAGACTATATTCACATAAAAGCAAGTCAGGATTTTCTACAGAGTTGCTTTAGAGAAATGGGGCAAGATGCTTTATCAAGTACACAAACTGAGACAATAGTATATCAAGTAAACAAAAGCCTAATGATCATCTTGAAAAAAAGGTGAACATAAGCCTAAATTTCCCATCTGGTTTTTATTTTCACTTCTTATTTAAATAAGAGCTGTTTTTAATTTAAGTTAAACCTTACATTCCAACTCCCTTAGGACAAATGTTGATTATATTTAGGGAGTGCTAAAAATGGATATTTGATCTACTTGCTAAATTTTTAAGCCTCCAAGAGAATACTAAAGTTGTAAATTTGAAATAAAAAACATAAAATAGTTTATATAATTGAACAAGTGACATATAAGGATATATAGATAAGACAAGTTAGGTAGAAAATAAACAGCATAATGAGCATGTGGCAGAAAACAAGTTTCACATACATGTGTACACAAACATACACAGGAAAAGGGAAAAGGAGGAGAGATTTGGGAGGAGGAAGTGGAGAAGAGCCTAATCAAACATAAATGGAGCCAGCATTTGGAAAATCACAATCAGAAGAAAATGTTCATGATACTAACCTTGCAGCAAGCGATGTTGTAATACAGAGCAAGACTTTCTAAGTTTCAATATCCTTTTATCAAATAAGGACAATTTTAGAAACATTATCCCAACATAAACACTATATTTTAGAAAGACAATCTCACCATTAAATTTCCTAATTATAAGAAAAGAAAATGGAAGTTAGAATGTTTTAACTAGTGGAAATTTACTATATAGAACTGGAGCTAAAAACCTGAATGCAAATAGCTAATATATATAATGTAGTATATCTAAAAGATGAATATTTTGTAATAAGCCAAACCATAGTCATGTGACATATAATAATTTAGAAAAATGTTCACATATTTTAAAATTAAAGGATAAGAAACTTCATTATACAGAGTCCAATATGGAAAATATGAACATATGAAATGTCTATAAATCATTCTTTTTACTGCCATAGTTTCCAAATGTTGCACAATTTACAATGCATTACAATCATTAGAAGTATTACAAGGTATAATCAAAAACTAAAACATTAATGTTATTGTTAGACATTAAAATAATAATTACTATTAATGTCAGGATCATAATACTAAATTATGGGCACTATCCCCTATCCTTGATTCTCACAACAAACCTTTGAAAGAATGAAATAAATTCTCTTTTATTCTGCTGTTGACTTCATGAAACACAGCTGCCATTCATTTGAACCATATGCTGAGTATAGTGCTGAACTACTTATTCTTATGGATCTCTAGACTAATGTCAAAAGGATGGTGTTGCTTACTGGATTCACACACAAAAAAAAAGCAAAAATTTTTCAATCTCATTCCTACAATGCTGGTTGAAAATGAACTTTCTAGAAGTATAAATAGATTGTGACCTGTAATTTGAAACATGTCAGAATATATTAGGTAGTACCTGTGAGGGAGCTGGATAAAACCCGCAGCTCTTTCTTTCTTTGTCAGGATTTGCTGAATAGTTCTCTGTAATCTTTGTGATACTTGAGACAACCCGACAAGCTATAGTCAACTTGTAAAATTATGTATAAATGGGCACTCACTTTCAGTCCAGGAAAACATTATATTAAGTGGAAAAGTAGAATGTCAAATCTCTTTATCAAAAAGACTAGCAATTATTTAAGGTATTCAGAAATTTTATTACTTGAATTTAAGTCAGAAGTGAAGACAGATTTCAAGGAGAGTAGCAGTGAGGAAATAGTTTTCAGACTGAAGTATAGAAATTAACAAATGAAGCTATGGGGATTGTCTTTGGCTTATATTTATCCAATACAAATGGACAAGAATGTGACTTTTGTTCAGATAGTGAAGGTGTGAGTAGAAAGTAATCTCTTTTAGAAGAAACCTTCATGGGAAAATATTAAAACAAAAATGGCCTGTGGTTGAATTTTCAAATGTTATTGTTATTTAGAATTAATATCTTAATTAAATTTTCACAGTGTATTAGAATTAAAAAATAACTACATACATAGAAGATTAGTTAGGTATAAAACATTATGACCAGGGACTGACTTACCCAGTACAAAATCAAACAAGGCAAACAGCGTGGTTCATCTAAACAAATGCTTAAAATTTCAAGTAAATTTCTTAAAAAAAAAAAAAAAAAAAAAAAAAACAGAAAAACAGACTAATGGTGTTCATTAGCAGGTATCTACCTCACAGAAATAATAAATGTGGTCACTTTCTCACAGAAAGTACCCCATGAAATTAATTTTAGTACCATTCTTTCATGGCAGCAAGCCACACATTTCAAGCATTGTGTTTTTATAGAGAAAAGTATCCTGATTTATTTGTCCAATAATAATTAGTTATTTTTGCCTACTTAAAGTCATACATATTAATTAAACCACACTGATAAACTGTACTTTTATAATCAGTCTAAGAAACAGTATGTTAAATAAATCAGGATTATTAAAGACAGAAACTTACCAATATTACAACAAATGGCAAAAATCTCAATAATATATACCTTAATATTTTTCAAATGAAAACAGTTGCTTTTGAGTAAGAATAT